CGGTGAGCATGTTCGATGTTTGCGAGTCGGTTGCCTTAGCCATCATGTCACAGAATATAGTAGTTTATCAATGTATATGGCAGAACTGCAAGTAATAAACGTAAGCTAGTACAAGCTTTACCTTTGGTTAGTTTATTTTATCTGGACAAAATGAACGTGGATACAGTTACAGTAGAAGTAAGTTTGTTTATTTTAGAACTTTCGAGAAAACCTATGACACATGAGATATTTGTGCATAACCGTTCTTAATTTTGAACTGATACACTAGATCAAAGGCAACTAGTCAACAGAATCCACCACCAACTCTTGTGTTACTCTTGTCTGACTGAATAGTTGGATTTAACTGTCACTCTTATAGAGCACCCAAAGACCCAAGATTCGAAACGAGTTTTCGCAGCAAAAGTACGCGAATCATGAACTCTTCTCTCGGATTCACAGTCCAGGCAATCTAATTTTTAGTTCACGCCCGGCCCTTCACAGTATGATTAGTTCGTAAAACATAATATAATATTTCCTTATTCATGAACTAGTTATGACTGAACTAGCCTTTCTTTTGAGCCTCACATAGCCTAGTTGTTATGGCGTTCAGCTAATAATCTGTGGGTCGTGGGTTGAATCCCATCACCGAAGATTTATACTTTTTCAGTCTTGAAGGCGTTATCATCTGACAGTCAATCCCACTTTTCGTTTGTAAAGAGTAGCTCAATTGATGGCGGATGGTGTTGAAAATAGATACTTTCCTTTTAATTTATCACTTCTAAATCAGGGAAGGCTAGCGCATATAGCTCGTGAGTTGCTTTTGGACGAATTTTAACAAAACAAAGAAACAATAAAATGGACAGCGGAATAGCACAGAATGAGATTAACACCAAAAGATTATAGATTGCCATCAAATCCAAGGGTTAGTAACTCAGTCACATTCAGGATATTACAGCTTTTCATCTCCTGAAAGGGAGAAAAAATCTTTGCAGCGATTTGTGGGGTTCAAGGGAATGCTGTTTGTTTTTTAATGCTAAAGTACAGAAGTTTAGATATAGTACCTTTATATATATATTTTTTTTACATTAACTTTAGTTCAGTTTACGACTGCAGTATTAACTCAACATCACTTCTTTTGGTGTTACTAATAAAATACAGTTGTTTTTACTATATTAACATATTGTAACTGTTCATTGTAAGCACTGTTTTTTTTAATAGTTTATTATTTATTTAATTGCTGGGTGAGTGTTTAGTCAGAACTTTTATAACAAAACTAGGATAACATTTCTTCGTCGATAACAAATTGATATTCACTTGAGAAATTAGAGCCGTGCAGTCAGTGCAACAGCATGTCGCTTGTAAGAGTTCCTACAGCTGCGAAGGACAGAACCTATTTTCCTACATGCATCTGGAATTGTTACTTTTATTTTTACGTCCAACAAAAACAGTATTAGAAAAGTTAGTAACAAGTAAGTAAGGCGCAGACGGTGGATTTACAGAGGTCGGCATGTTCAGTGGATCGTTAAGCTGTGGATAAAAATAAAACAAAGATTTGGTCTGTTCTTGAGAATTTGCTTCAGAGAAAGATTATGTTTTAATCTAGGTGTCAAGGAGAATTGCTTACCTTAGTTCTCGGAGACTGAGGCTATAAACTTGGAGCTCCGGCTGCTGAAGAATTTAAGTCATGGAATTATTTTTAGGTATCCATAAGGTAAAACATTGGGACATTGAATGGTGACCATTAGCATTAAACATATCTTCGGTTTAAACCTTTAGGATAAAAATTTCTTCGTGGTTTCTTCCTTGCCCAACTTAAATGAACATCATAAATAATGTTATCTGTATCATTTATTTTATTGTCTGCTTTTTCCTAAGTTTAACGCACTATTAAACTGTTTCGGTCATTGAATCGAATTTGTTACCTAAATTTGTTGTCTCATATCATGGGAGGAATTTAATTTTGCTCTGAAGCTTACATTCCTTTTTAACAAAATATGGTTTCATTATTTGCGCAGAGAATTTCGACATGTAGCCAGGAAGTAACAAATACAGCGTAAAATTATTTCTTTTTTGCAGATAGTATTATATAAAACTTTGTAGGATTTTGCACTATGATTATGGTCAACAATGTACCACTAGCAAAATTAATTAGAAAAGGTGATTGTTTTTGTTCAAAATATTTTTTTACATTATTAATACATAAATTTCGCATACTTTGAATCATTGATAATCTTAACAAATATTTCTGTAACCTATGGAATTAACTTCACGTGTTTTTCAACCTAAAACTGTTGATGTTTAGGAGTTTCTAATCTTTAAGTTAGTATTATTTTTATTTCATTATGTCTTATTTAATATTTTGTCACCGGAGTTTGAAACGCGATTATTCGATCGTTAGTTTTCTGAAGAATAACACTGGTTATATTTTTATTTGTTGTGGACTTTAGTTGGCATTGTAACGCTGTGACGATCGAGATTCACCTGTTATTATTGTAAATACTCTACAAAACTACTTTTTTATTATGAATTACTAATTACTATTTTAAACCAACGTCTCGAGTGACAATCCTCTTCTGTCTTAGTGGAGAAAAACCTGACTTTATGTGGGTCCCCTAATGACACAATTTTGTGCTTAACTACAAACAAACAGACTTTATGTGGTCGTGGGGTAACAACCCTGCCATTTAAATAAAATACTAACGTTTAAATCCCGACTAAGTCACATAAAAATTGCTCTTCTCCAAGACTACGTCAGAGATTCGTAACCAATTGGAGGTCGTCAGTAGTATGGTAGGTGGCTTAGTAATTAAAGGTTAACTGTACATACTGTTAACATACGTATTACAATATAAATGTATAATGAGACATAATCAGATGATCTAAAAGGCTTACCGAATTGACACCATTGGTTAACTCAGGTTCTTAATGAAATCCCCATCCACTCTTCTTTTTAACTGGTCTATTTCCATATAGCGCCAAATGTCAGTCTACTTATTTATTTCATTCAGCCATCATTAAAACAAATGAAATTAAATTGTTGGGTTATATTTCACTAACACTGTAGTTTCGTTATTTTGATGTGGTAGGGGTTAATCAAATTTATTACAATCAGCCGAATTCTTTAACTATACTTGATAATTCTCAACATATTTTACCAACTAATAAGGTAAGGTCTATTAATGACAAGATTAAAGAACGATAAATCGAATATTCGAACTAGAAACATATGTAATAGTAAACAGACAATATTAGATAAATCAACAATGCTATTAATTTATCAAAATAAAATACCTTTTATAAAAATGATATTTGTAACCGAGGTTTTCTGTGTAGTATGTCAGTCGACCTGATAAACTCAGTGAAAGTGCACCTAGACTGAGGTGTATTACATCTAACTAGATGTGTTGTAAAGATGTTATTCTTGATGGAAATAATATAGTATAGAACCAATAGAGAAAGATTCGTTCAAATTTATTACCATCCTCATAGTGACGTTTTATCACACCGATTCTAAAATAAAACAAATATTTGTCAGGTCATTCTCTACCAAGAACATGGTGGATTTAGCATAATGAGTAATCTGAATACAATTTAAATAAATGTTATTTTAAACATTGAACTTATTTTCAAATCGCAAATAAATAGAAAAGAACTCATGAACTTTAAAAGCCAGACTTCATACAAATTTCGTGAAAATAATTCTTTATGCATTTAGGCAGAAGCATTGAAAGTAATGTTGCAATATTTCATTTATAACTAGACCAGATCTTTATCAAGCTCTCGTGTACGATAGTGTAGGTACGTAATAATGGTTTTTGGTCAATACAGAAGGTTCAAAATAAATGATCCTACCGTACTTGTTTAAGAAGTTCTGTTAAGGATTTTTAAGAGGCTTGAACTATATTATTTTTGTGATGTTTTCAATTATGTTAACTGTGGAGAATACCATGTATCTCATTATCAACTTTGGATTTGACTGAACCACATTGTGAGGAATATTATATGGACCTGATCACCAACTTTGGTCTAGACAGAGCCAGAGTTGAGCAATAATATACATCTCATTAATAACTATTTTCTAGATTGAACCAGTTTTTGGAGAAAACTACATACTTAATCGCCAACTCTGGTCTAGGCAGAGCCACTCGACATTAATTATATTTTATCTACTATAGCTAATTTTATTGCTTTAACAGATTTATCTCTTTTAAATTTTTAGCATTGAAAGAATTCTTAAGGAAAGTTTCAACATTTCTATTTTTAAGACACAGATAGCCTATGTGGCTTTGCGTCTTTAAACTTCAACTAACAAACCAACCAAAAATACTATTCTTAAATTTCATAAGACGTTCTATACTAGAGCAGAAAATGACCCTAATAAATGCTGCATGAAAGTAATTTATTGTCTGAAGTATCTAATAAGTGCTAAAGAATTAGATCAAATGAAAGTTTTAAACCTTTCCAGAATGACCGTTCAAAATGAAATATAAGAAAACAGAAAAATATTGCCTAGTTAAGTTATTTAGGCTCTTGAAACTTATTTTTGTGGCAATTTTTATAATGCCTTTCTATTTTTTTTCCTTACAAAAATCAGTATATTCAAAAAATTGATCTTGTAATTATAATTACGTTTGTCGTCGAAAATCATCGTGCTTGGGACTAGAAATATAATTCGTTTTGTTGTCATTGCTAGAATTATATATACTTTAAAATAATATTAATATTATTAATTGAATAACACATACAAATGATGTCCACTATAAACGGCAAACGATTTGTATGTAATTTTTGCCAACAAACTATTTACAAGATAATTGGTAATACTTCATAAAACCACCTATAGTGGTTAGAATGGATATTAACACATCTCACTCTACAAATTCTGTTCAACGCAAAGAATGCCGTAAAGAAATTAATGTTCGAAGTTTTTGGTTTAAAAATAAAATTGAATATTCAATGTTTGTATTTTGTAGTTTTCATAAACATCAATCTTTTAAACTTACGGGGCCTTTTTCCCTCAGAACCTTCACGCCTCCTTCCTTCGGACGGTGCCTCCTTACTCCCACCAAGCTGACGTGTGGATCGAGCTTCTGAAGTTTCTTCATTATAAATGTGTTGTTTTTATTCATAGTTCGGACAACAATGGAAGGTACACTTTGGGGAGGTTTCAGAACCTAGCAGATAAAGCCAAGATTAAGGTTCGTACATAAGAAAATTATATATAGTCAAGGGAATCTAGGCGACGAAGCTAAATTGAAGTTGTTAATATAAAATTAAAAGGTAACAGAATTTTTTAAACCAGAATGTAACTAGTACAACCAAGACTATTATAGCAGGTAGAGATAAGGTTATAATTAGTAAACACAATCTAGTAAGTAAGGCCAAAATAATAAGTCAGCATAATATCTAACAAGGGAAATTATATTATAGCTGGCAAACAAAAGCAAGCAATAAAACCAAAATAGTATTTGACAACAGACAAGGTCTGGAGTGTGATTTATTCACGGAATCGATCAGATAGACCCTCATAATATATATTTTAAACATGATGTTTCATATAATTCATTACATTAAAGTTTGTTAAAATTATCTAGCGGACAAAGTAAAAGATGTGTTAACGTAATCTTCGCTTAAATAATACTTGCTAAAACATATTTGTAAATAAAGACAAAGTTTGATTTTATTTATAAACTGCGAATAATGAGATCAAGTTTCTGTGCTGAAATGAGCAATTACTCACTAACAATAAATCTGACGTATGCAGTTAACAGGTGAAACAAAAAAACTGATTTTATCAGAACCTTACTAAAGGAAATTCATGATTTAAATATTATTTTAAGCTCATCTTTATGTTAAACGTGAAGGAAAATATTAATTGTCCGGCTGTTACACATGCCTTTTTTTTAGCTTGTTCTTACCTATAAAGACTTCGATCTTTCAATTTATTAGCGAATTGTACAATATTATAATTACACTTTTCAAAACACTGCCTTCAGAAAACATCTTGTCAAAACATAAATCCTCCATTGCAAAAACACTCAAAAACTGTGGTGTACAAAATAAAAATCGAATTTGTAGAACATAGAATAGTTTCTGCTCGTATTGAGGAACGTGTAAGAGATATAAAAAACTTCAATATTAACACTTCTGCTTACAACAATACATGATATGGACAGAAATCACAATATTCTCTTTAATCATCTCAAAAGTGTAGATAATGTGAAAATACTAAAATGAGAAACATTAAATAAACAGTATCCATTATAGTGGATTACCTCATGGTATTAACTAAGACTTTGGAGACACAATCAATAACAGTTTTTGATTAACAACAATAAAGAATGCTCATAAAAACTAGACTATCATTTAAAAATTAAGCTTTTTTTATTTAGCCATTATTAGTAAATAATATTATATTACACGTAATATTGTTTTCTTTATAAATGTATATTAGTAAATGTATTTATGTATGTATTATTGTTCAAAATTTATATACACAATGTAGAGGTCATTTCGTACGTTTGTATTGTTGTTACCATATTATTATGTAAAACTGCTATATACGTTCTAAGAAAGACCTTGCTAAAATTCCGAACGCTCATAGTCTTGATAAAAAAAGGTTAAATTATATAACTTTGTATTACAGTTCGACAATAAATATTTCCCTTCACAACTCGTTCTGAACATGAATAAGTATTTTAAAACTCGCTCCTGAAAGACTTTCAGAAACAAAGTTTCAGCAATATCTTAGTACTGCATAAATATAAAACTACCAGTATTATTCAGAAAATCATATCTTTTTTTTACCAATTTTTAACATAGAAATTATGGAACCAAACCTAAGTTTTAGTGAAATGTTTGTTTGCTATTTAGCACTTGAGTGTATGGAATTATTACATCTCGCATGCTGCATAAACACGGTTAAATACAAAAGAAACTACACACACATATATTCATGCAAGTTTTCATACAAAGTCTGTTTATTGAAAAATTGAGGAAGCTTATTGTTTAGTGTTGATTTGGCGTCAATTCGCATTCTAATCTAGTGGGAAATCTATGTTTTGGTTTAAGATTTCATTTATATTCACTTTCTTAACTTCTAAAATCAGGTGATATTATAAAGCCAGTATAGATTCTTAGTAATGCACGGAAATGAAAAGTCGATTGACACGTGCTTAATAATTCATCGTCTGTTGCATAGCTTGCAATTTCGATAAAAACGAATAGTCAGTGGATTTGACGATACAGAACAATTGGTGCTATACCTTTGTGTGTTATTCGAATGCTTTGTTGCCATTTTAAAAAACAATTTCTATCTTTTTTCCAGCTCGACGATGTCATCGAATACGAACCTGGCTTTACAGATATCATTCAGCACTTGGAGAAAACGAAAGAATTTTACTGTCGAGTTTTTATTTTGTACGCAAAGTAAGCTTATGCCATGTTAAACTAGTTAAGACTTGAAACTTTAGAATGTAGCTTATTTATATTTAAAGAAAATAGCTCGAAAGACATACTTGTAATACATTTTGCTTTCGTAGCACTTTACTTATATTACAATAAAAATGCAGTACAATAATTTCAAAGGATGATATTTTTATAGATCGTAGAAGGCAGTTGATATAGAACCTGGAACATGTACCGATTAGTTAATACGTTAATAGTTGAAGTAAGTGAACATTTCAAGTCATCCTGAGCGTAAATTTAAATCACAATGTACGTTACGATGCAAAAATAAAATACACTGTTCGCAACGGCTTAAACTTTCCATTAAACTCTAGTAATCAGAGTGGTTAATGTATGTATAGTAGTTATAGTTCAGCCATCAAGACGCTAGTATATAAAGTGGTTAATGTATATATAGCCGTGATAGTTCAGCCATCAAAACGCTAGTTTCAAAGTGGCTAATGCATATATAAAGCACTGATAATTAAGCCATCAAAACGTTAGTTTCAAAGTGTTTAATGCATATAAAGTAGTGATAATTAAGCCATCAAAACGCTAGTATCAAAGTGATGAATGCATATAAAGCAGTGATAATTAAGCCATCAAAACGCTAGTATCAAAGTGATGAATGCATATGAAGCAGTGATAATTAAGCCATCAAAACGCTAGTATCAAAGTGATGAATGCATATGAAGCAGTGATAATTAAGTCACCTAAATGTTAGTAATCAAGCCAAGTAGCACATGTGAAACTGTTGTTAAGCCATCAAAGCGATGGTAGTCAAACTTTTTAGTGTTAGTAAAAGAGTCATAATAAATCATCTCATTTCAGACAGTGATCATATACCTTCAAAATATCATTTAGCTAAACTAGTCATTACTTGTACATAATGGTCATAATGTAATGAAACTTTAGTAACCGAATAGATTAACTCAAGTGAAAGAGTCATTATAAGCGACCAAAAGTTTATAATCAAATTGGTTATGGCATGTGACAAGTGATCATATGCCTCCAAAATGTTAAGTAGTCACTCTAGCTATGGTTTGTTATTTCAGACTGGGTAGCATTTACAATTGCCGTTTACAATTTTTCAGCCTTATAACAAGCTTTTAAATCGAACTTTGATGTTTTCATCCACTATCTAAGACACTACATCATTTTGACCTACTCTTGTGTCCAGTTTCATGAGCGTTTATTAGCACGAAACTACACCATTTTAACCTCCTTTTATGTCCAATTTTAGAGCATTTCTTGAATAGCGTTTTTTTCTCTCGTATCATTATACGTCATGATTTTTGTACCATTAGCCAAACTTAATCTTCATTTGAATATATATTATACTTGAGAAATATATATATTGAATAGTTTCATTTGAGTTTACTTACTGATTATAAGTACTTTTCCAAGTTACAACTTTCAGAGCAAGAAAGAATATTTATTTAAACAGATACAATATTTCGATTGCTGGTGCGACCAATCTCAAGTGTACAGATTTTAACGATAAAGAAGGTTTTTGCGTTGAAAGCAATATTCAAAAATATAGCAATGAGCAAAAAATGTATTTAAATAGGAGAATGGATAGTGGTTACTTCTGTGTGTGCATATAAATATGAGTTAAATAACAGTTTATTTATTTATAGTTAAACACTTGATGAATTTAAACATGGGGAAAATGTTGCGAAAAGAAGTTGGATAAGATAAGGAATATTTGGGGAAATAAAATAAAATTGTGCCTGGTTGTTTGCTAATTGTGGGGTTGTTTGATTTTTACTAATAAGGCTTCTCTGATTTTAATTCTGTTAACGTCAGGTTCGTTTTTTGGTATGTTTAGAAAACTTGAATATGTTATTGGAAGTGAAAAGGGTTTTTTGTGTTCTTTTAACCTAATATTCAGATTATGTCCTGTTTTACCCATGTAAAAATTGGGCAATTGGTACACTAAATTTTATAAATGTTTCGGGATGGTTTGGTTACATAATTATCTTAACATGTGTTGCGTGTTAATATTTTCAGAGTTTCTGTTAGAGATATGCTAATGTGTTATATATAAGGGATGGTGCTAGTGATTATGTTTCCTTCGTTTCTGGAGTGTTTATGAGTATACATATGCTTCTTAAACATGTCCCGTCTGTGTTGTATAATTTCGTTAACAGTTTTTGTACCTACTGTGATAAGGAATTAATTATTATTAGTAAAGCATTGAGGGAAGTGTATAACTTCTTCATCGATGTTTACTGTGGATCATTTAATATATGCTAAATCGAGAAGGCTTTTTAGAGTGCCTAGTTTCTAGTGGATTACATGATTAAAAACCGTTTACGTAATTTCGAAAGGTGGTGCCTGTTTAAAAAAATTCGTCTTCCCTGTAAAAGCTGTAATTTGTTTTTTTTTTTTTTTTT